CTCAAGTATTTCTCTGAGTAGCACTACTATCAGGTGTAAAGAGACAAGCTTTCACACACAGACCTCAGCTGTAGTGAAAGCACGAGCCCATCATCTTTGCTAGAACTCAAAAATCTAACACTTATACTAAGCCATGGGAAAATTAATTAAAACCCCTATTAGCTAAACCACATCTTTAGACTTCCAATCCAGTTGCCCACCTGGGCAATACAGGTGTTCCAGTGGATATAAAGAATTTGAACAGCCGGGATGGAAACAGGCATCTCTAAGGCAATGGGAGTTCTGTTAAAAGCCAACACCTGCTCTCCAAAGCCAGTAAAAGGCACAGAGGTGCTAGATTTTTCTCCTTGCCATGCTGGACAATCCCAGATTTCTGAGGTAAGAACCGCTATCCCCAATCTGGCTCTCTCACTCGCACACACTGAACTGCCCCATACCTGACACCAGAGAGAAGGAGGTTTGACTGCAGATTTCTGCAGTATTTTCAGAAATGAACTTATAAATATCTCCATGCAAAACATCACCTTGGGAGTACTAGTTAAACCATAGCTACAAATTCACCTAAACAGATGAAAAAAAACTAAGGACCTGTAGCAGAGATCTGACAACCTCAAAAATAATAACCTTAAACGGACCTTTTTTATCCGAAAGCTGGATCCAAAAGACTTTGCAACAGTAAAGCTTCCCCCCACACACAATGGAAACCATCATTATCTGACACACATCAATTAAATATCACACCTACTAGACTCATAAAAATTCAGCTTTCTAAACAAAAGCTAAAAAGAGAATGTAAAGAAATATTACATGTAATTACTGATATATATATATATATATTCTTCCAAACTAGGAATCCCTCACCCAACTGCACTGAAATATGGATTTTAAATCCACCACCACCAGGTACTTCAAACTAATTCACTTTCTCATGGAACTAAAGAAGCTCCAAGCCTCTCACCCTTAAAGCTGGCACACTCTCCAATTAAAAGAAAATCATTCCTTTTTATTGCCCCAATACAATTTCCACACTAACTTTAGAGAAATCCAATGACTTTTATGGGGTTCCAGGAGCTCCCCCTGCATGTGGGCTGAGACTGGAGGGGTTCAAACCCACTCCTGCTCATCTCACATATCTCTGTGGAGCTGCAGGCAACATGTGGGACTTCACTGCACCACAAAAATCCCTCACACGAGCCCCCCTGCTCCCAGCTGTGGCACAGCCCAACATCTGGAGGGGAGGGAGCAGAGCCAAACACACCAGGTAACCCAGGGGATTTGATCCTGGATGCAATGGCAGCAAAACACCCTCCCGACTTCACTGCCTGGAGTTTCCTCCAGAGGAAGAAACATTTTGGCACCACAACAGTTCACTTTTGGTTTTAGGCTGAAAGCGAAAGCTCAGCCTCTCCCTCCGCAGCCTCATAGCTCAGAATAGAAAACAAATAAATAAAAGGTAAAGTGGGATGGTATGTGCTGCCCTTGGGGAACCTATAGCTGGGCTCTGGGGAAGGCAAAGTCAGATTTGTGCAGCAGGAAGGCAAGAAGTCAGCACAGCCCATAGACAGAACTCAGCTCCACAGAGGCAGAACTCTAGGAAAGTGTTTCATAAATACCAGGGAAAAGACAAAGGGTTTAACCTGTATTTCTTGCAGATCAAGGAACAGCCTCAGAAACTTCAGATGCATATGCTCCACCTGAAGCATTTTTGCAGCACTTAACAAAACCAGCTGGCAGTTCCTTAGCACTGCCCAAGCCTGCCAGAATCCCAAAGGGGCATTGGGCAATTCCCGGGAACTGGAGGAGTGGGTACAGACCTTTAGAGGCTGCTTACAGGTATCTATACTCCTCCCCAGTCAGCCACTAATCTTCCCCCCAGATTGGCCAAACAAGCTATTTAAAAATACTTCCTCTGTTCCAGCAGAACTGCAAATTCACTGTAAATCCACTGACCACAATTACCAACGATGCTGTTGGAAATGGTCTTTCAAAGCACATTAACCTCTGTTCACTACGGTGCGTGAAAGGCACAAACCAGGGAAGGAATTGCAGGTCTGGAGACGACATTTATTGCCAAAGGGCAGCTTTCACACCTGGGAAGAAGCTCTAGTGAAATTATTTATGTCTTTGTTAATTAACTCACACATGGACATTGTTACACAGAACCCAGTCTGCCCAGTGTGTGCACTTGTCACCTCCACCACGAGCCCCCTCACCATCTCCTGCAGGTGAACATCAATCCTGATGCAGAAGGAAGGGATCGTGCCTGCAGGAACACGCCATGCCTTTAACACACGGAAAAGTGACCCGACAGTCTCACCCAGACAAATCATTTGCAGGACAGCCCGATGCCAGAAGGCTCTGACCCCAATTCCAGGCCACACGAGGCAAACCTGGCTGGCCATGCCCGAACCACCTGGGCAGTGTGGATTGCACAGGGCCCTCAACGGGCACGGGAGAGGAGCTTCCAGAACAGGGCCACGTGTCCCGAGCACACCGTGTGCGCTGAGGGAGAGCGGGGTGAGCGCGGGGTCAGCCCCGCCGGGCCGACGACCCCGCAGGGCAGGGACAGACCCCGGGCAGGACTGCAAACAGCGGCACAGGAACGGCACCAACCCGGGGGGAGCAGCCCCTGCCAGCCCCCCTGCCCGTGCTGGGAACGGGCACGGCACCCCCAGGGGCGCTGAGCCCCCCAGAGCAGTCCCAGCACGCGCAGCCCACCAACCCCACAGGCTGCCTGGGCACACACCCTGTGCACACACCCATCCATCCACAAGGCTTATCAACTAATACTTCAGAAAAAATGTGAAAACTTATGTTTTCAGAACCAAACTAGCCACCGGAGTTGGGAAATTAAAGCTATTTTAATCACTTTAGATATTCTTCAACTGTAACTAAAAGTCTGAAAAAGCCCTTGGTTTTGAAATGCTGTTATTCAAACACAAATTCAATACTGCCAATGAGAAAGAGCTGCTTCAACACAAACCAGGAACACTCTGGCTACACACAGCAACTCCACGAGTAACTTCCAGGTTCAGCTCTGCTCCCCCCGGGAAACTCAGAGAAAACCCCAGGATCACACTGCAGGGTCAGTTTTAGTCATATCACCAACAAACAAAGAAGTGGGAAAGCATCTTCTGCTGGGAACCAACCACTTCTCCAGAGCAAATGCCTGAACTCCACAAGACCTTCTCTCACGTTGTGTCAGCTCATAAAACACAAGGAATCACTTGCTATTTCCCTACTCCCCCACTACAGATGCAGATTTGCCACTATAACTCAATATAGAACCAGAGGAGGAGGGAAAGACAAAAGCAAGGAACTGACAAAGTTGTCTTATCACTGTTTATAAGCTCAACGATTCCACACAAGTTTTCTCCCAACTGTTGATATCCAGACCTCTCCCTGGATTTCAGGTTTCAAAGCTGAGGTTTCTGGGTTTGATGTTCCACCTCTAAGAAAAGGACACTGGAGACGGACTGAGAGGGGCAAGTGCTCATAACAAGCCAAACCCCCCAAATCCACACGGCAGCAGCTCCACAACATTTTCGCAGTCACTGGGCTCACTGCACGAGAACACTCCTGGTTTCTGGTTTTCACCAGTATATTGAGGACTTCTCACGTTTTTCTGGAGCCCCAGCTTCCCTGACAACCTGCGCCTGCTTTTCCCCTTGGCAGTGACACGGAGCCTTTATAAAGCCAAACACACCGAAAGTCAGCGGGTTTCGAGGCCCTCAGCCCGCAGCAGACGCCGAGTTTTCCCCGAACCCACCGGTGACTTTCACCCGTGCACGGCGGCCGCTCCCGGGCCCCCCGAGCGCCTTCCAGCCGCAACTCCCCCTCCCCTGAGGCCGGTTCGGTGTCGCGGGGCCCCGGCCCGGCCCCAGCCGCGGCCCCCCGGCACACGGCCCGTAGGTCGGTTCGCCACCCTCCAACAGCCCCGCGGCCCTCGGACCGGCGAACGGGCACGGCCAAACCCCGAGCGGGGCCGGGGGTCAGCGCCGCCAGCCACGGCTCGTCCCGCTCCCCCCCGAGCCCCAGGAGCGGCCCCGGGCCCGGCACAAACACCGCCCGTGCCCGCGGGCCCCGGGCCGGGGGAGCCGTGCCCGCAGCCCCTCGGCCCCGGAGCCCCCCGGGCCCCACACCCGCCCCGCCCGCGGCCCCGGCCCGCACCAGTTGGTCATGTCGAGGAAGAAGGCGCAGCCGGCGGGGCTGAGCTGGAAGCCGAGCAGGCGCTGGAACTCGCCGATGAGCACGTCCTTGTCGGTGGTGCCGAGGCAGCTGAACTTCTGCATGAGCTCGGCGTCCAGGTCCACGTCCATGCCCTCCATGGCCGGGGGTCCCGGGCCGGGCCGGCGCCGCCTCAGCGCCGCGCGCGAGGGGGGGCGCGCGGGGGCGGCCGGGGGTGCGCGCGCGCCGTCCGCGCTCTGCGCCTGCGCCGCCCCGCCCCGCCTCGCGCGGCGCCGAGGCGTCACCGCCGCGCTGACGTCACCTCGCGCGCGCGAGGGGGGGCGGGGCCACGCGCCCGCGGACAAGGCAGGGAACGCGGCAAGGACGAGGGGGCGGAGGCCTAGTATGCAAATGACGTCCGGGCATGACGCGCGCGTTCCGCGCTGGGGTGCTGCGTCACCGGCGGGCAGCCCCGCCCCCCGCCGCGCGCTGCCTTCCATATATGGCGGCGGCGCGGCCCGCGGGATTACGGATGCAAATTAATTGCTGTGACGTCACGCAACACCATGCAAATGAGGCTGCGCAAGGCCCGCCGGGAAACCGCTTGGTGTTTTTTCCTCCACAAAATGACGCTTTTCCCGTAGTTTTCGGCCGCGCGAGGCCGCTTCGTGACCCGGGGCAGGGGGTGTTTCCCGTGAGGAGAACACGGAGGGGCCAGCTCTGTCCCGGCAGCGCCGCGGGCAGCAGCGAACCCCGCGCGCTGTACACGGGGGGCGGTGCGGGCGGTGCCGGGCCCCTAGACGGGGAGCGGTGGCGCGACCGAGGGCGGGGCCTATCCACCGTCCCCTCCGGGCCCTACGGCGGCCGGCGGGGGACAAGTGGCGGCGCTGTGTGATTGCGTGCGTGCGTGAGTGCGTGCGTGCGTGCGTCACGTCCGTCTGGCGGCGGCGGGAGCATCATGCCCAAGTGAGAGCGGGGCGAACGGGGGGGCCGGGACCGGGACCAGGACCAGGGAGACCGGGCAGACTGAGCCCGGCCCGGCCCGGCCCAGCCCAGCCCAGCCCAGCCCAACCCAGCCCAGTCCAGCCACGTGGGGCCGATCCGGGGCTCACAGCGCAAGGGGGGGGCTCTCAGTAACCCGCTTTTCCCTGTTCAGGTTTTACTGCGATTACTGCGACACGTACCTCACCCATGACTCGGTGAGTACCAAGAACATCAAAATAAACTTATTCGGACCAAGACCACGGCTCATGACATAAGTGATGTCACTTATTGTCTCCTGATTCCAGCCAGAAGAGGCCGTGCCGTGTTCCCGGCCCTCCCAGCGGGGCAGTGACGCTCCGGTGCCCGCGGGGGTCCGGGGAAGGCAGCTGGGGGGCCCTCGGGGCACCTTCTGCTTAAACTGGGGGGTCAACACTTATCACGCAAAGGTTTTGTGCATCTCCCGTCCTCTGACTGGGCACAAACCAAGCTGCTTTGTGCTGCTGAATTGCCTGTGTTTAAAATCACACCGAGTCCTCAGTAACCTTTAGGTTTCTCTGATGTTTCCCAGCCCTCCGTGAGGAAAACCCACTGCAGTGGCCGGAAGCACAAGGAGAACGTGAAGGACTATTACCAGAAATGGATGGAGGAGCAGGCCCAGAGCCTGATTGACAAAACAAGTAAGGCCAATCCTTCCGTGACACCCCTGCCCTCCCCTGCCTCTCCTCTGACTGCTCTTCCCTGCTCCCACCTCAATTCGTTCTTACTGCCCTGGGGAAGTCATGAGAGAAAACTTCACTTGGACGCTTCTTGAGCTCTGGCAGGCCCAGAGCCATGCCTACTTCCCAGGGGAGTGTTCCAGTGTCCCACCACCCTCTGGTGGAAGAGCCTGTTCCTAAAACCTCCCATCTGGGCTTCCCCCGACGCATCCTCATTCCGTTTCCTTTTGCCCGTTTCCCTTGTGATGCTTCCAACCTTCCCATCTTTCGCCTTCCTCCTACTCGACTCCAGCCTTTTGAATTTCTGCCCTTGCCTTCCCCCCGTTCCCTGCTCCCTGTCCCTCCCAGCCCTTGCCCCGTTGCCATTCCAGCACAGCATGTCCCGGTGGAGCGCTGCGGATCCCGCCGTGTGTGTGGTGTTCCTGTCCCCGCCTGGGTGCCGTGGGGGTGTGACACAGCCCCCTGGTCCCCGTGTAACAGTGATTGTCTCCAGGAGTGCCAGGTGCTCCCGCCCGCAGGGACGTGTCCGGAGTCGGCTGCATGACGCGATGTTCTCTCCGCGGGGCATGAACGGACGAGTCCCCCGGCGCTTCCTCGGCCTAGTAACTGGTTTTTTTTTCCCTGGGATTCTTTCTTTCCTTTTTTTTTTTTTTTTTTTCCCCCCCAATGTAGCGGCTGCATTCCAGCAAGGGAAAATCCCACCGACGCCGTTCTCGGCACCACCTCCGGCCGGAGCCATGATCCCACCTCCTCCCAGCATCCGTAAGTCTCACCTGGCACTTTGGGACTGAGACCATGGCCCTCCTGAGATGTGTGCCTTGTGGCCTCGACTTGGAAAGAAAAGTCCTTTTAGCTTGAAACCAAGTCAAGACATTTTGAGCTTATGCTACCGAAGTGTGGGGGAGTTCTGTGTGGGGGCAGTCCAGCAGCACCCCAGTCCTTGGTGTGTCTGATCTCAGGGATGCTCAGACTGTCAGTAGCGGGGAGAGCCCCTCCATCTGTGGGGGCTCCCGTGCAGGCGGCTCCATCAGAACTGCCAGTGGTGCATGGGTTTGGGTTGGGCTTTTTAAATAGAATAATTTTGATAACCTTTTGCACTTGAGCTGGCAAAGGGCCGAGAGACCTCCAGCCCAAGTCCTGCTATTGGGAGTGGCAGTTCCCTGCACTGGGTGTGCACAGCTGGAGTTGGCAGCCAGCATATTCCTCTTCTGGGTCATCTGGCACCTGGAGTCAGGGCTGGGAGTGAGGGAGGCAGATGTAAAGCCACCAAGGCCTTAGTTACTGCCATGTGCCGTGAGAGTGAATAACTGCATTGCCTGAGGGTGCTGGCTGCTTGCAGTGTGTAACTGTCTCTGTGTCCAGCTGGCCCCCCCCGGCCTGGGATGATGCCGGCCCCACACATGGGGGGGCCCCCGATGATGCCAATGATGGGCCCACCCCCCCCGGGAATGATGCCAGTGGGACCCGGTGAGTCTGGGATGGGGTGACTCTGTCGGGGGTGCTGGGGGGGTCTGGGGGATGTGTCCTGACCCACTGGTGACTAAGCTGTGGGGAGCAGGGCTGGGCTGGGCTGGGGGCACACTCTGCTCACACCTCTGTCACTGTTACCCCCCTGCATACAACAGTCTTACAGCCACTCATTAAAGCCCCCTTACTCCTGGCTGAGAGTCACCAGCCCTCCCTGCACAGCTGAAATTATGGCTCTGGAAAGCTGTAGCTGTTCTTCCTCTGCTCTGAGCAGTAATTTTTTAGGAATTTGGTGTCTGCATCTCTCAGGTTTTGCACAAGGGGCACGTTTCTGCACTAAATGAATTTCACTGTTTAAAATGTCTCAAGATAACGTGTTCTAGAGAAATAATGGGCCTGAAAAAGCTTTTTTTTAGAACTGTAAAGGCAAACTAAAAGGTCTTTGATCCATTCCACTCCTGAGTTTCCTGGCATTTGAAGAATTCTCAGGGGATGTCTTACTGGAGCATTTCCCAGAACAGCTCTACAGGAACACACACATGTGCACTGAGAGTAGTGAAGTGTCTTTGCAATTACTGTCTTGTGGTAGAAAGTGTTCTGTAAGTGTTTTTAAAGCACAAGATAAGTACACAATCTGCAATATTCAGCAGCCTGGTGAAAATAAATGGCAAAGTGGGATGGAAACCATTATTTCAGGGCTGTGCAGCAAAGCCCATGCTTTTCCCTGGCCGTGCTCTTTCCCAGCTGGAAGAGGTGCCCAGTGCTTGTTCGTGGGCACATGGGAGGCTTTTGCAGCACTTTTCTCCAAACAAACTCTCCAGATCAGTAATTAAGCTCACGTGTCTCTCTCATGACTGGCAATAATTTACTGGTGAATATTGTCAGGGTGGGTGTATAACCTATGAGCTTGGTTCCTCCTCTGCTGATGGCTGAGCTCCTTCAGGGAACAGAATCCATCTCAGCAGCTTCCAGACTGGAAGTTCCTTGATGGGGGGAGAGAACCTGCCCACTGTACAGTGTGGAATTTCTCTCTGTGAGGGTGGGGAGGCCCTGGCACAGGTTGCCCAGAGAAGCTGTGGCTGCCCCTGGAATCCCTGGAAGTGTCCAAGGCCAGGTTGGACGGGACTTGGAGCAACCTGGGCTAGTGGAAGGTGTCCCTGCCCGTGGAGTGGGCTGGAAATAGGTCTTTAAGGTCCCTTCCAATGCAAAGCATTCTGTGTTCTGTGGTGACTGGGCATTGCTGTTCCCAATG